GGGGTCATGAGACCGACCTCTCTCTGAGCAGTAAGTCAGCAGTGGGTGTGGGAGGCAGATCAGAGAGGCAGCTGCTGGCTGATAGGGGTGGCCTGGCCTGCACCCTAAGCTGTAGAGTCTTCAAGAGCAGAGTCCCCAGGGTGACGGGTTGGGTAAAAGGAAGAGAAAGGCTTTCTATCATTACCCACGCTGGCAGGTGTGGAGCTGGGGAGAGGGGCAAAGGGGATAGCTGATGCCGTTGCTCCGTTCCTGGCTGGGTAGGGGACCTGCAAAGCCCGAGAGTGCAGGAGCAGGGTGGATAGTAGAGGGGGGAATTCCAGTGTGAGGTCTTGTGGCTCGTTCTCAGATGGTCTCTGAGAGCCTGGGCTTATGGCCTCCTTCAGACAGCTGCCTGGGGAAGTTACTGCTTGCTATGGGAGGGAGGGGGGCACTCAGTTCTAGGGCACAGGAAGAGGTGCCAGAGGCTGTCCCACTGAACCTGATGAGGGGTTACTGGAGTCCGCGGGCAGACGCAGTGAACTTAGAGCATTTCAGTGAGGTCTGGACTCGCTTCGTGGGTGGAAACTGGACCAGACCCTCTATTTTTAGCACCCAGTCTCCTAATATCAGCCTCCTTACCTCTTAATTTGCTGGGCTCACAACAGGAGCACCGATGGGTGATGCTACCTGGACACCATCCTGACTCCTCTCCCAATCTCTAGGAGAAAGGATTTCTATGGGACTTGGGTGAGGCACTCCCCTCTAGGGCCTCGGATACCCCCTGCAGAAGAGGGACGCCTGTCAATGGCCTCCTTGCTTGGCAGGGTGCTGGACACGACCCAAGTGACATGAGCACACTGGGGTACTATGAAGAGAGGTGCCCTGGGAAGAGTGAGCACCAATTTGATCACTTCCTTGGGAGCCGGATCCAGAGGGCTGAGCAAGAGTCCACTTGACCGCTCATGCCTGCCCTGGCAGCTGGCCAGCCAGCAGAAGCTGGGAGTGGTGGGCAGAAGAGGCTCTCCTTTGCCTAAAATGTTCGGGGGACTGCCCCACTGCCCGAAGCCCCCAAAGCCTCACCTGCCCAGCCTGAGACTCTCCTCACGGTCCCCACGGGCCATGGGGGCTCCTCCTATCAGCCCCTTGGTTCAAAACGGTTCTGCTTTCTAACATGCCCAATTCAAATGGCATGGCATGGGGAGCCGAGGGAGGGTGGAACCTTGCCAACCCCCGGAGGCTCTTCTCCAGGTCACAGGACACGAGGTAGGTGAGACTGGCAGAGTTACAACCAGGAGGGAATCCATCGGGGGACCCCCTTCAAGCTGGAGTTTCTCTGGGTCTCCGCAGTGAACTGCACTTGCGCAATAGGAATGTACATTTTCATTTAAAGAGAAAAAGGAAGAAAGGAGTAAACGGAAAGGGCGTTCTGACACAGCGCTGCAGTCAGATGAGCCCTCCTGGGCCCTGCCCAGCCCCGGCCACAGCATCCCCGGGCTCCCAGCTGCTCAGCCCAGGCCAGACGAGCCCCCGGCAGTCAGGTGAGTGGAGGCCAGAGGGGCTCAGACCACCAGAGGGGAGGGGAGGGAAGAAGACCCTTGCCAGCTCCAGGCCAGACACACTCCAGTGTCTGCTTCCGGGTTCATCCTAGAGGGCAAGAGTAGATCTATTGCCTGCCCCCTCAGGGACAGCTGGGGTTCGAGAGCTGCGAGGAGGGGGCTCTTCAGGGACTCCCGATTCAGCTAGCTCTGCAGAGCTGAGAGTAAGATTCTCCGGGTACAGAGGTGGGCCCCGCTAGCTGAGGAGAACTTTGGGGGCCCCTGGAACACGGGTTGTAGGCATGGCTGCTCAGCTTATGGTCAGGACCATCCTGGCCCCTGCTGGTTCCCACACCCCCAGGAGGCATACCGTGCTGTGCCGGCTGAGGCAGCAGCTGGCATCCCCAGAGCAGTGCCTGGGACAGAGCAATGGCTGGGTGGCACTTTGCAGTGTGACTGTCAGAGCTAGATTGTGGGTTAGGGGAAAGGGGTATCCAGTCAGGCTGGAAGGAGCCATGGTGGTGAAGTGGTGATGTGTTGGCCGGCTAACTGCAAGGTCAGTAGTTTGAAACCACCAACCGCTCCATAGGAGAAAGATGGGGCTTTCTCCGCACGAAGAGCTCCAGCATTGGAGACGGACAGAGGCAGTTCTACCCTGCCCTACAGGGTCACTGTGAGGTGGCATGGGTTCAATGGGAGTGAGTTTGGTTTTGGTTTTGTCAGACTGGAAGGTCCCACCACTGCCTCACTTCAACCAAAGGGAAGGGGGTGCAGAAGGGGCGCGGCTTAGAGAAACCTCGGGCCTGTACTACCTGACACCAGCCTTTAAGAACCAGGTGCCTGTGTGTGGGCTGCCCGGACTTGTCTTACCACGTTTTCTCTTCACTTGGCACTGGTGAGTGTGCCCCCAGACACTTGCTCTGGCCAGGCCCCATCTGCACCCCGCACTGGGACAGCTCATACCAGACCCTGCCCTCTGGAGGCATCGGAGAGACAGAAGAGGCAGTCGGGGAAGACAGACCACAGCCTCCCGAAACTGTGAGGGTCATGCAGAGATGGACTGTGTGTCCTGGGGTCCGAGGGCAGTGAGCAGTCAGTCACCTTCCCTGGGGAAAAAGCTTCCTGGGTAGGAACATTTGAACCAGGCCTTGGCATTCGGAAGCACAGGAGTCTAGGCCTGGAGGTGCATTCCTCACGGAGAAAGGGGTAGGAACAAAAGCCAGGTGTCCGGAGAATGGAAACTTGTTTAACCACACCCAGCCAGCCTGGCCCTCACAACTGTTGAAGGGGGCGGCCTGTCCTGCACCACCTGAGGCTGGTGGACAACTCCATACAGGGATGCAGCTAGCCGGTGCTCATGGCCTTTCCCGTGTGTGTCAATAAGTTCCTAAGGTTGGGTTATTGGAGACGGAGTTGCTGAGATGAGAGGGTTGTATTTCACCTGGTGACAGATCCTGCCAGCCGCCCTCGGTTCCCAGAACTACTCTAAGAGTGTGGGTTTAAAGGATAGATCTCCGTATGTTCAAGAGGCCAAAGCCTCAGTCAGACCAATGCCTTCCCCAGATCTCCCCTAGTGCCTGGTGCCAGCCGCCAGCCCTCAGCATCCCTGGCCTCTGTCGTCTCGCGGCATGTTTTCCACGTCTATTCTGCTTTGGGGGGAACTCAGCAGTGAGCAGGCTTTGACCCACCCTGTCTGAGTCATGGGGGAAAGATGAGGCTTTCAATTCCCGTGAAGAGTTACAGTCTCAGAAAGTCCAGAGAGGCCATTCTGCCCTGTCCCGTAAGGGCGCTATGAGTCAGCGTCGACTCCAGGCCAGGGAGTGGGCAAGTACTCTGGTTTGACCTAATCAGCCTAAAATAAAAGAAAAACTAAACTACAAACAAAATAACCAAGCCCATGGCCACCCAGGCCGTTCCAACTAAGCCAAACTGCTCCTGAGGATTTCCAGCGGCTGGCTCGGAGCAGGGCTCGGCGGTGGTGAGCCCTGCATGCCGCTGTCGGGCAGGAGCAAGGGGGGCACAGGGCCACGCTGTCCCCAAATGACCATGTCATTGTCGTTGGTAGTTGCCGCCTCATGGTGGCTCCACCAGTGCATGGTTTTCAAGCCTGGGACCCTTCGGACTTCACTCTCAAGAGGCCCGCGTCTCAGCCAGCAGTCCAGCACTTGACCACTTGCACCACACATGGAGGTCTCACGGCAGTCAGACCCCCTCAAACCTCCACCCCACAAACCTGCATGTCCCCTTTCTCTACTGGAATACAGGCATGCCTCTTGCAAGGGCACTCAGTCCCGTGGTCATCGAGTCCATGCTGACTCATAGAGTAGAACTGTCCCTGTGGGTTTCCGAGGCCTCAAATCTTCAGGGGAACTGACAGCCTCATCTCTGTCCTGTGGAGTGACTGGGGGGTTCGAACTGCCGACCTTGACGTAAGTAGTGCAATGTGTAACATGCTATGCCACCAGGGCTCCAGGCACAAACAACAACTCACCATCTCCAGTCAATGCCGACACACAGCAACCCTACAGGACAGGGTAGAACTGCCCCTGTGGGTTTCTGAGACTGTCACTCTTTACAGGAGTAGAAAGCCCCATCTTTCTCTCAAGGAGCTTCTGGTGGTTTTGAATTGCTGACCTTGAGGTTAGCAGCCCAACACATAACCACTACACCACCAGAGATAAGGACAGACAGGCCTATATTATAGAGAAGAAACTGAAAATTCAAGGAGGGTTTGAGAGACAAAGTTGGGGCCTGACCCTCCCCAAAGGCTCTGTAAGAGGTCACTGGCTGGGGCTCCCTCCTGGTTGGGACAGAGTAACTGTGCCCACAGTGAGTGTGTTCACCTGAGTGGACGAGAGAAACAAGTTTATGGACACTCACATGTGTATAAGAAAGAGTTATATAAAAGAGCAATTGTATATTGAATAAACACCCCAGTCCAGTCCAGACCAAGTTCATAAGTCCAATATTAGCCCATATGTCTGATACCAGTCTGTAAATTCCTCTTCAGACACATGCAGCACATGCAATGATGTCGAGTGCAGGAAGATCACAGGCCAGTGGGTGCAAAGTCTTGTGGATCCGGTGGTGATGGAAGCATCTCAGCGCTGGTGTGGGTCTCCATGTGGCTTCTGCAGCTCTGGGCTCTGGCTCCATCCGTGTAGCTCCATGTAGCTTGTCATCAGGAATGTCTCCCAGGGAGAGAGTGTGTTCCACCTCCAGGGAGGAAGACAGGAGTTCCCAGATTCCTCAGGAGAAGGCCATGCCCACGTGGAGGCATTATTGGCTATGACCTGATTGGCAGGCTAGATTCCACCCTTCGCTCAAGTTGACAGGAGATGATGTAACTGCCACAGGGAGTGCATAGCTCTTTGACTAGATGGGACCTGGGACCCCTGGCAGGCAAAGGCAGTTGCTCAGTGAGTGGCAGGGTGTGCAGGGCCCATGTGAATCTGTACCTCTGTTTCATCCTGCCAGGCTCTGAACATGGAGAGGCCTCTCACAGTCCTGCAGGTGGCCCTGCACCACCCCACGCAAGGCCCAGCTGCCTTTGCCAAGGTGCCCCCGAAGCTGCAGCTCGACACCAGCCCTCTGCTGCTCGGCCGGGGGCAGGACGCCCACCTCCGCCTGATGGTGTCCCGCCTCTCCCGCCAACACCTGTCCCTGGAGCCCTACCGGGAGCAAGGCAGCAGTCTGCTGTCCTTCAGCCTGAGGGTCCTGAGCCGCCAGGGCTGTGTGTGGGTCAACGGGCTGATGCTCAGGTTCCTGGAGCAGGTCCCCTTAGGTGCCGTCAACAGGGTGGCCTTTGCCGGAGTCCAGATGGCGATCTGCATCGAGTGGGGCATCTCCCTGGAGGCCTTTGTCTGCTGTGTCCACCTCAGTCCCTCGCCCCTGATTTACAGGCTCAAGGCCGAGGAGACCGATGACCATGATGAAATCCCCCCGCAGCAGCAGCCTCCCCCGGGGGGCTCGGGGGAGCAGACTTCAGGTAGCCTGGGCTTTCTCCAAGACCCCTCTCCGACTCAGGACAGCGCTCTGCAGCCCAGCCCTGGAGGAGGAACAGAAATACAGCCCCGGAGGGAGCCCCCAGAGGAGGCACTGTGCTAGCTGGGCCGCCGCTGCATGAGCAAGTCTTTACCTAAAGGGACCTCAGACATTCCAGCTGTGTCATGGCCAGGGGAAAAGGGGGTGGGCGTGGGGGGTGTCGAGCAATGCCCTAGTGGTTACAGCTATGCAGGTAACTGCAATTCCATATACTTTAGAGGCCCTCGGGGGCTGTAGGGAGCCTCTCACCTCCTTTCTTCCAAGTTTCCCTCTACAGTTTGACTAGGAGTTACTTTATGTCGCTCATTTTGCGTGCTGCTTAAGAGCCGGCATTGGAGCCTGCGCCGGAGAGCCTGGACACGTGTAACTATTACCTTCGCAGTAGCTCCGGGTTACCTTCAGCGTTTAAATACCCACAGGCACCTGGGGCTTAGGGGTGAGGGTGGGGGCTGTGTTTAATAAACTGCAAGTATTTCATTAAGCTGGCATACCTTTAGGGCCCCGGGGTCCCAAACGGACTGAGTGCACACAGCGGCGGCACGCAGAGGCTGGGGGCGGGCAGTGCAGGAGAGGTGTTGGAGGAAATTGCCGAGGTAGGGGCTCATGTTTCTGGAAAGAAGGATGCTGCGTGGATGTCAGGGAAAGGGGCTGGGGCTGGGCCTGTCCTCACCCTCACCCTCACCCTCACCCTCACAGCTCCCTGCCACTTCCAGATCGAGCTCATGGCTGACCAGATGGCAAAGGATTTTAAGGTGGCTTTTCCAGAGCCCTTGCAGGACTAGTTGCAGGAGGGGCTAAGATGGGGGTGGAGGGGCTGTTAGAATACAGCTCAGAAGACACCTATTTCACTCAGGGTGGGTGAGTCCCAGATGGTCCCCGGGGAATAAGTTGGAGAACAGGGTGGAGAAGCTTCTCTGAGTACAGCCAGCCTCTAGGCGTGCCATCCTGAGACAGGGGGTGCGTGGTGCAGAAACAGCTGCTACCTGTGCGATGGAGGAAGATACATACACACAACCCAGAGGGTCTCCATAGCCCTACACCCCTTCCCCAAGAGGATGGCCTGCCTGCTGGCAAGGTGGTTAGCATCTTGGGGTCCAGGACAAACCCCAACCAGGCTTCCCACATTCTTCTATTCCCACCGATAAAGCAATACCCGTTCGTACCCAGGCCTATCTACAAGGAGGCCCTGCTCCACATGTGCCTCCCCCATGGGTAAGATGGCCATGGGACGGCTTGGGCAGCTTCCCTTCCAAGAGCTTCAGAGACTCGGGTCCCAACCTCAGACAGAGAGCACAGGGCAGTGATGGGAGGTGCGGGTGCGAGGCCTGGCTCCTGGGAGCCCCCCACGGTAGGCTGGTCCTCACTCACTCAACAGACTTTGTCCAGCGGTGACATGGTCGGCACAGGCCTTCTGTGGACGGGGCTGCCACGAGCCGGGCGCTCACCGAGTCCTCTCAACAGCCCGGACCAGCAAAGCACACTCACCACGTTTTACAGACAATGACCGAGGCTGGCAAAGAGGTCAGCATCTTGCCTAAGATCACACCGATTAGTCCGACTCCCAGGAAGCTCACCCCACGCCTTGGGCCAAGTCTCCAGGACGACAAAGCTCTGTCCCATTCCCCGCTCCATTCTCTGGAGCAGAAACCCCCAGTCAGTAAATCCGTGACACCCACCCTCACACTCTCTCTCCAACCTGTTCCCTTAGTCCCCTGACATCTCCCTCTCCCGTCAGCAGAGACCGCCTGGGGGCAGACTGCCTGGGTTAGAATTCAGACCAGACCCACCTACCAGCCAATGACCTTGGACAAGTGACTCTCTGGCATGGCCGTGCCTCAGTTTCTTCTCCGGGAAAATGGGGATGGTAACAGAACCTACCTCCTTGGGGTTCTTATGCAGGTTACGTGGGGTATCCCATGCAACGCTCCCAGGTGGGGCTTGGCAGGGTAAGCGCTTAGTAAGGAATAGCAAGGGGGGAGCGTGGTGAGACCGGCTGGCCCTACCATCAAGCAAGACCAACGCTGGAAAAGAATATGTTGTCCACTGACTAGAGAGGCGGCCAGGGGAAGGAGACCCTCCATGAGCCGGGCAGACACCCCAGTCATCGCACAACCTCAAGCAGACCACTGGCCATGGAGATAGCTGGGGACTGGATGGCACAGGAGTTCTCCTTGAGTCAGGAGGCCTCCACAACGACCAACAAGCCACAACACTACTGTCCATGGAGAGGAATGGATTTAATGGATGACGTGGACACACACACACACACATCCCGCTACAAGGAGTTACATAAATGACATTCAGGCATGTGCCCCAGGGCCCTACAATTCTCTGGAACCACATCTGGAAATTTAGCACCCGTCCCCTGTGCCCTCTGAGGCATGCCACCTGCACATCCCTCTGCTTTCTCAAGAATGTGCTTCTTCCCCAGCTTTCGGAAAGGGAGACACTCCGTCTCCCCGGAGCCCAAGTGTCCAGGGAACCTCCGCAAACAGCCACAGGAAAACACTGCTGTGCTGATACTGCCAGAGGAAGGAGGGCTCAAGGACAGAGCCCAGGCTCAGGAGTCCAGGCAGGCCCCCCACTCAGGACACCAGCACCCTGGGACCCTGCGCTCTGAGTCTGCTCCCCAGTGACACCTCAAGCTCCCCACAGGCAGGTACCACAGGCCATGCACGGCTGTGTTCCAGCGGCCATCCCAGAGCTGGGCAGGGATGGAGGGACAGGCAGATGAGCATTGGTGGAGGACGCAGCCGCCATGGGTGCGCTGAAGTCTGAGCCAGGCTTGGCTGACCAGGCATGGGCAAGGGCAAGGCCAGGGCCAGGGCCAGCACCTGCAGTGGAACGTCGCCTGCCTCCTGTAGGCCTCAGTGGGGCAGCCCAGACCTTCCTTCCTGCCGGGGCAGAGTGAGGTTGGTGCTTCTGCCCAATCCTAAACTTCTTACGGCTCAAGCCCAACCAGCCCTGTTGTGGTGACAGGTGAGGGAGGGTGATGGATTGGACAGGGCCCCTATCACCAGCACACGGCTGCCAGCCAGCACTTCCTTCCTGCCACAGAGGCTCAGAAGAGGCCCCGGAGGTGCCTGCAGCAGCAACAGCAGTCAGAGGCTGGGTGGGCTGGCTTGAGTCCAGGCCTGTTGGCCACCAAGTCTCCTACAACCTGGTTTGACACTGTTGCCAGAGCCATGGAGGCCAGTTCTCCAAACCCCATCCTGACACACACTCGGAGGTCACCTGCCTTCCTGTTCCCACTCCTGCACCCCATCCACACAGATTAGAGGTGCCCAGGCTCTAGGGACCCGAAGGAGACCAGGTAGTCAAGTGGTTCAGTGCTTCGCTGCTAACTGAAGGCTCAGAGGTTTGACACCATCAGATGCTGTGGAAGAAGCGGGGCAGCCGTGGAAACCTGTGGGGCAGTTCCACTCTGCCCGGAGGGATGTGGGAAGCTAATCTGTCAGCCAGTCGGTCAGTCTGCTGCAGGCATTTTTTAATCTTCCAAGTTGGAGAGGCTAAGTCTTAACCTGAAGGAAGGAGGTGAAGGGGTGAGTTTCCCAGAGGCTGTGGCCCTGGGCCACCCTTTAGGCCTGGAACTGAACTCACCCCGGAAGCTCCATTTTCAGCTTCACACGAAACAGGTCTGTAGGCGAGCTGGGATCTGCCATCAACACTCATGGAAGCAGCAGTCGAGAGATCAAAAGACGCGTTGCCTTCCGTGAATCTGCTGCACAAGATCTCCTCAATAGTATTGAAAAGCAAGGAGGTTACTTTGAGGACCAAGGTGCGCCTGACCCGAGGCATGGTGGTCTCCATCCCCTCACATGCATGGGAAAGTTGGACACTGAATAAGGAAGACTAAAGAAGAATGGATACGTTTGATTTGTGGTGCTGGAGAAGACTATCGAACGGCTGTTAAAAGGACAAACCCATCTGTCTTGGAAGAAGTATGGCCAGAGTGCTCCTTAGAAGCAAGGATGGCAAGACTTTGTATTCCATACGTTGGACATACTGTCAGGAGAGGCCAGTCCCTGGAGGAGGACATCATGTGTGGGGCAGTAAACAAGAGGCAGGCCCTCCCCGGGATGGACTGGCTGCACCCGGGGCTCAGGCACAGCAGCAGTTGTCAGACGGTGCAGGACCATGCAGTGCTTCCTTCTGTCCTGCATAGGGTCGCTCTGTGTCTAAACAGCTGTGCCGAGCCAGGACCTGAGAATCAGTTCTTCCCATAGCAGCCTACCGAGCTTCCCAGCTGCAGCGGAAAGCCATGCAGAAGCAGGGCATTCCCTCATCCCCACCCCGCAGCCCCCCGCCAGCCAACTGGGCTTCACCGTATCTGTGCCAGGATCTCGGCTCAAAAGCTTTGTTTGTATTTCTCTTCCTCAGCGTCCACTGTGGGGCCAAGGTTGCCGCGCTTCCTTCTGTGCTGTTAGCTGCTCCCCAAGAATCTGACGGGGCGGTTGGAGCCTGCAGCCGCCCTTCACTACTGGACAGGTACTTGGCCTGGATTCCTAGGCTGATAATATCCCCAGCCTCACCTGGCCCTCAGAGGCTTGCGGGGGAGGACGACACACACCCCACCTTTCAGAGGAGATGCCGGATGTAATGAACTCTTTTGGAATCGTGGGGCTGTGAGGCCTCTTACCTTTCCCGTGAACTCGCAGGCGGATTACGGTGAAATCAAACCTACCATGGGAGTGACATTCTCAGCTGATTGGAAACATGCATTCCCTCTTCCCTCCTGCCCAGGCCGTGAGAAGGGAAGTTCTTGTCTTCCTTTAGAGTTTGTGGACTCTTCATAGCCGAGGCAACAGCCTTAATCCTGCTGAGGGTCAAGGCGTGGGGGCTGGGAATAAATGGCTCCATTTACCTTTGCTTTCCAATCACACGCTCCCGCGGAAACCCAGCATCCCAAGCCGGGGGGTGGGGTGGGGGAGCCGGGTGATTCCCCACAGTAGAGTCCAGTTCTTCTCGCTCCACGCTCATGAGTGGAGGGGACTTTGACACGCCGCATGGCTCTGCGAAGGCATGCCCTTTGCCAAGGTGCCAGCAGAGGATGCTACAAACTC